GGGAAACACTGGTCCTAGTAATCTCAAGAAAAGGCACGGAGGTGATGGTGGCCGGGAGGTGGTGGGACATCCTTTCTATCTTGTGCCATCTCTCCACATGGCACTCATAAGGTGGCAGTGCAGGAGAGGATGATTATTGTTACTGTTGTTATTATTACCATAATTCCTCTAGTAGGAAGGATCCTGGTTACCAAAGACTCCCAAAGACAGGAGGCAGAAGGTCGAGATACAAGGCAAACCTCTCTAGATTGTTTATTCATTTTCCAGAATTCTTAATTTGTCCACAACTGCCTTGCACAGGCTGAGAAGTTTTTGTTGAATGAATGCTACACAAACAAGTGTAAAGTCAGGACTAGCACTAATTATAGGCTCTTGCGTGAGTTAGATCATATTCCCTCCTCTTCAGGGGCAGCACTCATTTCACCTTAGCAAGGCCTGTCATAGGATCTGCTGGTGAACCAGCTGTCCCCAGAGTCACACGCATGCACAGCACAGGGGTACAGCTGAGGAAGGAGCTGTGTTTCTCTGATTCTTCAGACTCTTGGGCCATGCAGATGGAAAAACCTCCACCCCCACACAGCCAGGGAAGCACTGAATGCCTTAGCATCCATTTGTGGAGGTAGTGTCTACAAAATGAGGTACAACTCCATGAATGAATAAATGAGTTCTGGCCTTCTTCATCCCCTTTACTGCAGATGTTTCCTCTCTCTTAAAATAAAATGACATCGACCCAACCTCAGTAACACATGTTCCTTTTTAATCTGCTTCTTTTGGAAAGCTTCAAATGCATTCCCTTGAGCCACCAACATATACTGAAGAGAATGGTCAGCTCCCCGAGATCCCACACAAATTATTTCTTCCACTCCACTCACACCACAGAGGGCCCCAACAATTTTCTTCTGGGAGAAAATTTTTAGGACAGTGTGCAAGAATTAGGATTTTCCATCCTAACTTTCAAAAGTATACTGTGTGGACAGTTTGCAGCTATAAAAATATACACATACAAAAGTACAGCTACAAAATCATGGAGTCCATTCTCTCAGCTTTGCATTATAAAAAGTAGGGATTACACATTCAATGTAAACCTTGGGAAGGGAGCCACATTGTAATTATGATTGTATGTTTAATCGCCCCCAACTTTTATTTTCCTGGAACAGTCAGACCACACTGAGTCAGCCAGTGAGGAGTGGAAGGGGTTAATCTGATCCATTCATGGGCCAAGGTGGGAAACTGGAAGATCAAGGTCACTCAGCCATTGTTCTGCTGTCAGTAAGAATGTCATGAGTCAGGGAAGGAGAGAAGTATTTAAATACTGTTCTGTAGCTCTCTCTCTCTCTCTCTCTCTCTCTCTTTCTCCCTGACTTTATATCTCTGTGTGTGCCTCTCTGTCTCTTTGTCTCTGTCCCTCTGTCTCTCTGTCTCCCCCACTCTGAATCACAACAGAGTAACACAGTCCATAGGCTACAGCAGACAGGGTCTGGAATTTGCATTGATGTTGTATCTCTAGCAGACTTTACATAACCAATGGGCAAAGTCCAATGCTTCCTACACAGAGTATCTCATTCCATTTGGCCCACAGTGTCAGCAGGAAAGGGCAACAGGGACTCCTGGCTCTGTGCTCAGCTTCCATCAGGGTGTACGTTCTCCTTGATGAGAGGAAGCACACCTGGTCCCCAGGTCTCTCTATGTGGCATCAGGCAGGATCTTGAGTCACCTGGGATGCTCAGAATAGAGGTGTGTGTCCTTTGGGCAAGGCCAGCTGGTGTTACTTGGCTCCACAAGTGTTGATGTTTTTCCCATCCACAGCGTCTTCCACGAGGGAAATGTGGTAATCGGTGGACAGGGTGAAGTGGGAGATGCAGCCCACGAGGCCTCCTATGTACTGCCTGTTAGTATGCAGAGTGATTTCCTGCATCCCACCTGCCAGGAAGCAAAAGGAGTGAGGCAAAGAAGAGGTGCTGGGGGTGGGGTGCTTCTACACAGTGCCCTTGGGTGTCCCTGGAACAATGTGTCCCTTGGCTGACAGAACAAACTGCCATTTTACAATCATCCTTGAAGGAACAGGACAACTTAAATCAACTTGAAACAGACCAAAGGGCTACAAATACCCACCTCATGTGTCACTTATGGCCTAAAGGATCACCTTGAAACCAAATAGTATCTACTAAGTTTTGAAATGTATAACATCAACAAAATATAGTATGTCATTACAGGTAATGTTGTCTTAAACTAAAAGAAATACACTGATATGGGCTACTTTCAATTGTGTTCTTTTTTTAGAAAACATATAAGGATATCTTTTTATTTTTATGTGTCTATGGTAGTGGATTATAAGCCATTTATAGACATATGCTATTTTGAGAGAGGCCAGAAAGACAGATCCACCTTCCTCAGAGAGAATTCATGGAGCTATATTAAGCAAGTTCCTGTTCTATAAACAAAAAAAGCGTCGTTTTCCTGGTGCATAGGTTCAAAGCACAAAAGCATGTGAATGAGTCCTTTCCTGCCCCCTCGGGGATGAGTCAGAAGTTCAGAAAACTGGAAAAATGGACTATCTGGCCAGCTTCCTGATTTCCAGGTATTTGACCCTGTGAAGTGCACAGCCCCAGAACAACAAACAGAAAACTAACAAGAAAAAGCCCTGGTCAAATTTAGCGATCACTTACCCACATACAGAGCTCCATTGATGTTGAGCTGCCTCATCATGCCAGGGGATTTGCCAGTTCTGGCGCCATAGTCATCCACAGTAATCTTTCCTGATTGGCCATCCCTGTAAAGTAAAGCAAAATAAAACAAAACCCCAAACCTACCAATTCTGGGGCTAGTCTAATCATTTCAATAAAAAGGGATAAACCTACTAAGTGCCAGGTTCTGTGCTAAATGATGAAGCTGCAAAGCCCAAAACCCACCAGCAGCTTCTATATTCTAGAGGGCTCAGGGAACCAACCCAGGTCTTTCTTCTTGGGAGCAACTCTCATAGCACTGAGCTCTGGGGAACTTTCTCCTTTAAATGCCTCTGAGAAGCCCTCTTTAAAGCTGGATGTGAGAGAGAAATGAGCCACCTTGTCAGGGGTATTTCTGGAGTTCAGTTGGACTGTGTGCATTTTGACCTGTATTCTAGAATTTCAGATCCAAGCATGTATGTATTCATTATGGGACAGCATTTCAGTTTTTTAAAAAAGTTAGAGCTGTGACTTCATAAAAAATCACTACACATTGTCCCCAGGGCTTTCTAGGCCACCTGTAGCTCACAGGCTGTGATCTGCCTCTGGACACTGACCTCCTCTAAGTTATCAAAGGCAGGCACAGCAGCCAGGCCCAGCACCCCAGAAAGACAATGTCCAGCACAGCCAACATGTGAGCTGAGGGGGAAACAGATCACGCCCGGTCCCTTCTTTCCCAGGCCCTGCTGTTGACTTCACTCACTGAGAAAGGGTCACAGTAAATTCTCAGGGAGCAGCAAACACAGTCTCTGTTCAGCTTGCTGATGCCTGTGTCCTTCATTTAACATGAGTATTGACCCAATATGGATGTAGATAGTAAAGCTAAAAATTACGAAGAAAAGTAAAAGGGTTAGGGATGTAGCTCAGTGGTAGAGGACTTGCCCAGGGTCCTAGGTCAAACCACCAGCACCATAAAACAGAAAAGAAAGACAGAAAGGAATGAAGGAGAGAAGAGGAGAAGAGAGGAAATGAAAGGAGAGGGAGAAATAAAAGGAAAAATAGAACAAAGAGCAAAAGAGTGACTCCCCCAAAGATAATCAGAGGATAGGACAGTGACTACCACTGTGAGGAAGGAAATATGTCTTTGCGACTGTGTGAACTACAGATTTTAAGGTTCAGATAATGTTTTCCTTAAAAAAAAAAAAAAAAAAGCAGCAATCACTTATGCATTGAAATTTGGAGCGGTTTTCGAAGTCCACATATCTTGAAATCTCATCTTACTAACTGTCACGGCCCTTCCACAGTTTAACCATTAACAAGTGTTTTTCTCCAGAAAGGAGCCATTCCATGTGGCTGTGAAGGTCTGGTCACTGGCCTGTCAGGGTCAGTGCAGGGCACAATGGAACTTGGTGGCCAAATACACTGACTGCCCTGGGTCAGGAGTGTAGGAGGCCAGGTGTGGTTGGGGACAGTGGAACTGGAAGTGAATTGGACCCAGGACCTACTCATGCCCAGGCCAACTGTGTCCTGCAGTGGTAGATGCTTACCTAACGGCCTTGACCCTGTGCCACCGGCCATCACTGAAGGAGCCATTCACCATGATGGTAGCCACACCACTGCCCAGGTTGTAGCTAAGGGCATTGGAGAACAAGACAGAAAACAAAATAAAACACAGACACATACGCAGTCACCCATTCACAAATGCTTCCTATTGCAAAGATTCTTTGGGATACAGAGTGCAGTTCTTTAACACAAAGCAAAACAATACAAAAGGGAGTCAGTTTCCAGGTTAGCTCATAAATGATTTTTCTAATTAAATTTTCAGTTGGAACACATATAACACCATCCTAACCATTTTAACAGTTTAGTGGTGTTAAATACATTCACACAGTTATGAACCCGATCTCCATGACTCATTCCATCTTGCAAAATGAAAACACTGCACCCATTAAACAGTAACTTCCCATTCTACCTTCCAGGCACTAATAATTGCCCTTCTATTCTCTATCTGACGGATGTCACTATCCTAAATCCCTCATATAAGTGGAATCATACAACAATGTCTTTTTGTAACTAGTTTACTTTGCCTAGCATAATGTCATCAAGGTCAATTTTTTTAAGTCCCATGTACCAAAGCACTCATATTATAATGTCAGAAATAATAAAAAGGGCTTTATCATTCCTAATATGTTGAAATGGATTGAGTAATGTTCCTCCAAAACTCACGTATACCCAGACCCTAAGATGTGCCCTTATTTGAAAATAGGGTCTGATGTAATTAGTTAAGTGACATCATACTGAATCAGGGCATACATAAAGCCACTATGACTGCTATTCTTTTTTTTTTTTTGTACAAGGCTTGAACTCAGGACCCTGTACTTGTGAGGCAGGTGCCAGAACCACTGAGCTAAATCCCCAGCCCTATGACTAGCATTCTCATAAGAGGAGATCTGGATACAGAGACAGACACACGGGGGAGAATGCCACATGATGCTAAAGGCAGGGGGTGAAATGAGATATCTAGAAAGTAAGTAACACTAAGGATTACTAGTGACCACCAGAACCTTGGAGAGAGGCATAGAACAGATTTTCTCTCAGACCATCCAGAAGGAACCAATCTGGGCAATATGTTGCATTTTGGATTTCTAGTCTCCAGAACTGTAAGAGAGTGAACTTTTATTGTTTGAAGCCGCACAATTTGTGGTAATCTGTTATGTCAGACCTAGGAAATTAAAACATGTGTTTTCACTTACAAAAAAAAAAACAAAAAAAAACCTAGAACATTGCAGAGTAGGCTGAGCCCCAAAGAGATTAAAGAAAGGTATCTAAACTCACAAAACCAATGTACAGAAGGCCAACTTGGTGCACCAATGTTACTCTGATTCAGCTTCCCTAAAGGTATCAGAAGACATGACCATGTTGTTTACCAGAGAGAAATAGCCCTCTTAATTCAGGGGTCATTCAATTATTCCAACTTAATCCAATTAAGAAATATTTAGTGAGTACTCCAGCCTGGGCACTGGACCAACTGCCTGGACCTTCCCTTGATGACATAGCAAAGGCCTATGCAATCACACTTTGGAAGGGAAAATGTCCACCCAGGATAACTGTCCCCTCATCTTGTAAGGGGAAGTGCGTCTCCTTTACCTCAGTACCCAAGAAATAGGTCGGGTGAAAGAAAACTCGGATTTATTACACAGCTCTCATGCACGTTCACTCTGAGAACAGAGTGAAAACAGAAAGTGGTCAGCTTTCCCCAGAGAAAGACTCACAGGCTACTCCTTTAACAACAGAGGCTCAGGGAAGTAACACAGCCCATTGACTTTTAACCAAGAATAGAACTCGTGATGATTCCACAACAAACCATGGGACAAAGCTGCCACTCTGACCCTGAAAAATCCAGTGTTCTAATGAATTTTCCCATATTAAGTGTCACCTTGTATATGCAGCCTGGAGGCAGAATTTTCAGATTTCATTATGCGCAGGCCAATTGCTTGTTGAAGAAATCAATGACTACTAAGCTAGGAGCTAGGAGCTGGTTGACAGAAATTTAGCTGAATTCCTTTGTGGCTTTTCTGAGACAGCATGGGGTGCCACAGCACGGACACCTGGGTCCTGCTGACCGGCCTGCAACCCCAGTCTTGTCAATTGACTGGCTCTGTGATCTTGGGCAAGTTTCTTCCCATCTCTGAGGCTAAATGTCCTTGTGTGTCAAATGCAGATAAGAACACTTTCCCAGAAAGATCACAGGGACTATGGTAACATGTTGGAAGCATGGCATGTAGTAAAGGCAAAACAAATAATGCCACCTGCAGCACTTACTGCAGCTGTGCAGGGCTTGACAGTGCACCTGGAAGAACTGGATGGAAGGAGAAAGTTGCCACCAAGAGTTAAATTCATCTGGTCTCTTCTGGGAGAGTAGCCATGTGTGAGAACGGACCCACGGGCTGTAAATATGTAACCAAAATGGCCAGGAACAGCCGTTCTCAGAACCAAGGTAACTGGGCATAACTGCAGGGAGGTGGACTGGAACATGCATCTGTGCAGGCACCAGAAACCCCTTCCGTTGAATGAGATCCCACCTGGACTGGGGGTAGGCCCCCTCTTTCTCCAGCACGACAGCTCTCTTGTTCTTCTGGCAGGAGGACAGGATGTGCTCAAGGGACTCAACACACAATCTGGCAGTGAGCGATCCAGCCTTTGCCATGGGTGCGGCAACTCAGTTGGCTTCTCTGGAGGCTGACTTTCCAACCCCCAGCTTTTGTGATTTCAGACCTTTCAAGTAACTACCTGCTTCCCCAGACACATACTCACCTGGAGGAGCTCTCTCTTCTATAAATTAGTAAATGGCCCAAAACTATGGTTATTTTCCCTGGAAAAGGGAAGGCAGAGATGTCTGGTGGTAGAAATGTCCCATATCTTGTTGATATATCTACAGGATACAATGTTTACCTGTTTTAAAATTTGTCAAGCTGTACACTGTACATAAGTGTACCACACTTGCATTATGCCTCAATATCAAAATGCAAAACCAAATAAATGAGTGTTTGTCTGATTTTTCTCCTAATCCCTTGTGACTCTGGCTGCTATGAAGGGGTTATCCCGAGCCACTCAACTAAAGGCTGCAAGGCTGAGAACCAAGGTGGAGCTCCAGGAAACGCCATCAGACGAGGCCACTCTCGCACCTTCACGTGGTGACACTTTTAATCGTGGCCTCTTTAAACCGTGACTCAGGGCACTTTACTAGTGTCAGATCTCTTCCCTTTGTCTATTGCCTGAAAAATGTTGTAAGGTCAAAATTAATGGGAAAGAGTGTCAGTCAAGTGATGTTCAGAAACCTGCCCAGAAGATTTTATGCTCCACATATAATTGCAAGACAAAATGAAATAAAACAGAAAACCACACTCATTTTAGCTGAGCACTTTGACTTCCTTTTTCTTGTTCACCTACCCCATCAGACTTGAGAGGACAGGCTCGGGAATCTACCTCCGAGACGAGTGCCCCGTGCCCCAGTGCCTTGCTGCAAGGCTGTATTCTACTTCCTCCCTGTCCTCAGCCCAGCCAGCACTCCCAAGGGCTGTAACTGGTGGAGGGTGGGGTGCAGTGACTGCACAGGGGAAGGCAATTTAGTGGGGACAGCAAAGGTGTGGCTCCAGACCAGGCCTGAGCACAGACCTCTATCTCAGCCAGGGCTCAGCAGTGTGTCTTACACAGAGCACATCCAGAACTCCAGGATTAGAAGAAAGCACAGGGACAATTTTCAGCATTTCAGAAAGAAACAGTAAGCTGAGAACTCTGTCCAGGATGGTGTGGAACCGTAGGAAGGGCATAGGGCAGAGGGGAGGGGGCGTTTCTTCTCCTGGACCAGTAGGAGCCTCAACTTGAGCTTCTCGTTTCCTAGTCTGGCTGAAGAACAGGTTTTGGCTGGCAATTTAGGGGGGAAGTTGGGCCATCCCACTCACTGCTTAGCTACTGTTTCAGTTCCCTTTTCTGGGCACAGTAAAGTACTTGAGGCCTTGGTGAGGTTAACCACAGGAAAACCACAAGAAAATGGCTTTGAGGCAGCCAGCTTGAAACCTCGCATGAAGACCTCCAAATCTTCTAACCTCTTGGCCAACAAAGGGCAGGGGACACAGGTTGGGGAGAGGGTGGAGTTGATGAATAGCTGCCCCTCACTTGCCAGTCTCACTACATAGCTCCCCAAAGTCCCCCACAATCCCAGGACTAACTCAATCACTTAGCATACTCTGCTATTTGGAGGCAGGCACAATGTTGGACAAGTGACATTTCCTCTCAAAGTGCCTTTTCTTCAAATTGAAAAGATTTGGGTTATCCTCTTCTGGCTGTCAGTAATCCCAGAGCACGACAACAAAAGCCTCAGAATTAAGTCTTCATCATTTCTGCAGCTCACTTCTCTCTCCTTTGTCTAATCCAATTCCAAGTAATTTCATGTCATTTAGTGAGCATGGGCTCATTACCACTGGGGAGGACTAAAGGAGTAAAAGCCCAAGAAATGCCTGTCAGTGGGACAAAGCTCCGGGGTCCTCCTGCCTTTGTAGGCATCAGAATCACCTGGGGAAATGGTCACAGCACAGCTTTGAGAACCACCCTTCTAAATTGGTGATTTCGAATCTCCAGTGAGAATGTGTACTACGGTCTCTAAAAAAACCTTTTCATAGGACACCAAATAGTCACTGCTCCTTGGAAACCTGGCTCTCATCTACTCTAGTACGGAGAAGGGTGGGGAAAAATTGTCCAGGTAATTGTTCCTTAACTATTGCATAGCTGCCCATTTGACAAATTTGGGAGCAATCTAAATTCACTTCAAAGAGAGAAGAACTTTTTTGATTGCCTTACTATCACCAAAGAAGATTTGCAAGGAGCCCCATGTTGAGTTGATCTACTGAGATATGAATCTGTGCTTTCATCTTTTTGCAGCAGGAGACTGGATGGTGGCATTCTTCCCAAGATTACATAGCTAAATGGGAAGCAGAATGGGATTTAAAGCCAGGCCTCTTGGGCTTTGGATCTTCAGATTTTCCTGAGCTGGTGAGTGCTGAGCTGAGTACTCACTTTCTTGCTCAGCTTTCATGCTTGGCAGCACCAAAACTCTCTTTTATCTTCTTCCTGATTTGTAAACAGGGAGCATACAGCAGTAATCCACCAGAACAGGGGACACAGAATTGTTCTGTAAAGGGCCACACAGGAAGCAGTTTAGGCTCTGCCATAGAGTTCCTTTTGGAATATTCAAGTGCCATCATTGCATGAACATGCTCATAGACAATATATAAATAAATAAGTATGGCAGTGTTGCAATAAAACTTTATTTACAAAAATGAGTAGTGGGACAGATTTATCCTGCAGGCGAGGGTTTGCTACCCAGATGGATGCTGGAAACAAAGACAGGAACCTGAAATAAGTTTGGAGCTTCAGGCTACAGCCAGTTTCAGCAGACTGTTTTGGCTCACTTCTGAATCACGAACTGCGCTATCTGAGAAAATTGCAAGATGCTGCTAAGGGCAGCTGGAGAGCAGGTTACCTGAACACCAGGGCTCCATCCCGAAGGCCCAGGGAAATGAAGTCACTGTTGGATCTCAAGGGGCTATCTCCCCTCCACATCAACAGACCATCCTTGGCAGTTGTCTTAAACCTCATGAATGCATTTGATCTTGATCCTGACACTCTGGAGCAAACACACAAACAAGTCCATGAAATCAACCACAAACATCTCATTCCCAGTAATCCCAGTTTGACCTGGCAGCCCCAAGCAACCAGGTGTGAGTATTGTCTGGCATTTCTGACATGTACTTCCAGGAGATTAGAAATAGTATCACCCCACGAGTCACACCACCAGTGGAAAGGTCTGGATGCCCACTCAGCAGCAGTGTCTCTCTGCCACGCAAATGAACCCCTACAATAGCATTTGCCAGGTGACTCATTAGCAAGGCTGTGGCGAATGTCGTGGTTCCAGGTTGCACCACAGTACACACCTCAGTCTTCCCTTTTCTGTCCTAGTATCAAGGGCTCTCGGGAAACTGCTCCCCACTTGCCCACAGAAAAGCGGGCTTCCTAATTGCCAAGAGGGTTAAATGGGCAGCGGCTCTGGGCTGATTGAGGCTGTGGAAGGCCAGTTCTGATAGTGATTGGCCTTGGGGGAAGTCTAGGGAGTGGTGTCTGACAGAGGAAGTGGCTTAATGGGATAATGGTTCAGAGGGTGCTGTGACAGAGCCACAGTGGAGAGGAAACAGAAGCTTGAGGACAGAGGAGTGTTGAGGCTGGTTCTGTATTCAGGGCTGGGGATAGTTTCAAGCACTTAGCAGTGCATGGCAACAGCCCTTAACAGTGCTTGGAAACAGACTAGTTCAGAGAGTCATTCGGACTAAAGTGATTAGTATTTCATGTGATGGAGGGCAATAAGCAAGTCTTGGGTCCTAGAACTAAAGTTGAGATGGAAGCAAACATACTTTACTGTTGCTACTGATATGACTCTACTAGAAAAGTTTCTTTTCTGTTCTCCCATTAGTTATAAAATACCGCCTTCTTTCCCATATATCTGGAATTCTATAGAGTGCTTTCACTAGTGAACAGTGGGTGGGGACTCCTATTTAGGCTTCCTAGAGCCTGCTCTAGACAAGAAGAGACCAAGTTTGCCTTTCCCATGTTGGCTGGCCCCCTCCCTGGGAAGACTGGTGATGGCCAGTAGCCTACTGCTGGCCCACTGCCTAAAAATCCACCATTTCCAAACTTTCACTCCAAGTTCCTGCTCTCCTTCACTTGCCTTGGGTATATTCATTCATTGGTATAATCAAGATAGTTTCATTTACCTCATGAGTGGTTGATTTAGGAGTAGACATATGACAATAAGAAAGAGGAAATTTAGCAGGACGATTCTTGGAAAGATTCCTTCTCTTTTTCCTATGAGAAAAAATCTTTCTTACATTTACTGAATAATTCCCTATTTTATGACCATATTATGAGTAGTATATGAGCAGCTAGGGAATATGCTGAGGATAACAAAACAGACATATGGATGAGATTTGGGTCTTTGATGATATAGTTGATTCTCTGAATTAATCAATACAGGATCCAGTCTAAGTCGGAACTCCTTGTTATATGAAATGCTTAATGCTCACATGTTTGAGACACTTTAAGCTGAGTTTTCTGTTACTTGGTACAGAACACATCTCTGAAGCATATACTCCTAAACTTGGCTTCTGTTTGTGGCTTCACCCACATGCACACAGATTCACACATGTACATATGCACACACGTGCCTGCCCATACCCACTGTCGGAGCTGCTCTGGTTTGGAGCCTCCAGTCTCTCATTCGCACCAAACCACCCAGTGGTCTCTCACCAAGTACCACGGTCTGAAGACTTAGGCCTCTTTCACACTGTTACTGCCTTCTGGGGACTGAACGACCTTCTATATTGGGAGGAAAGGGTTTGAAAAAGGAAGCTGGTCTCTGATGGCTGGGAATGCATTTTACTTAAGCTTCTGGTGCAAAGACAACACAGATAAATACAGGTTGGAATGACAGAGATGAAGCAATGTCCTTTAACTTAAAGATCTGCCTTCCTTTGTTGGCATATAGTCAACCTGAAGAGAAAGGAAAGTTCCAGAATGACTGTGTTGAGGGATGTCACAGTGTAAACAACAAAGGATGGGAGGGGGGAGAAGAGGAAAACTGAAGGTGCCTGAGACAAGCTTGACTGGGTAGAAGAGTTTGCTGAGGGCCAGCCTTGTCCCCCTTGGCACCTACGAAGGCTGTTCCCAACATGAGCTATGACTCTAGCCCACCCCTGGAGCTTATGCACCAGGGGTTTAAAGCTATGGCAGTTTCCTCATGGCATGCTCTTGTAGCCACGTGAAAAGAGCTGGGAAGCCCGGACTGCACTGGCCAGAGCCTAAAGACGACATGGGAGCTTTGTGGATCAAGACGAAAGGCAGTGCCCGAGCAGGCAGGAAGTTGGCTTGGAGCTGTGTGGCTGGCTGGGTGCAGCCCTGTGGCTGGGGCAGAGCTCCAGAGCAGCCACAGAACAGCACAGAGCTCACTGCTCTGCTTTGGGGGTCACACTCATAACCCTGCCTTTGTGCACATCGACCTCTCTCTGCTTCTCAGGGCCTGAGGATTGGAAACCCCAGAGGTGGTCACGTTACTCTCTGCAGCCCTTTTGACCAGAAAGGGTTTGGATGGCTTTTAATGGGGCTGTTTGGAAAGCTGATGTTTTCGGGTTAAGTTTGATTTCGTTTTATTTTGTTCTGGTTTCCATGTTTATTTTATGTGTTCTCCCCACCCCCACCCAGCCATGGCCCTCTTTGAGAATTATCTTTTGAGATAGAAGATAAAGAAAAACCCAGAAAGATAGTGATTACCTCTTGAGGATATCTGGATTGTCATATGTCAGATAACTGCGGCCCATAAACTGTGGGATCTCAATGGCTTCTGTGACGGCTGAGACAGAACAGAAAACACAGTTACAGTTTGTGGCTCTCTGGACCTCTGCACTCACACATGACATGACAGGAACATACCAGGAAGGCCAGCCCCTAGAAACGTGCCACTTAACAACATGTCAGCCCTTCCTCTTGGCTGTACGTGGCATTGGCCAGGTTCAGGGAGAACCAGCTGGATGACCTAGTGTCAGCACCTCCACATTTGTCCCTCCCTGGGGACTGGCAGTCACTGTCACTGGCCTAAGCGCTACAGAGAAGGTTGTGCAATGTGCTGAAACTTGAACTGTTCCCAGTGATTCTTGGAAACCAAAGAGTAGGGCTTGGGCTACATGGGGAGCAGCTGGGGATAACCCCAGATTTTCGCCAAGGAGGCAAGAAAAATAATTTTCAAACAAGGCCTACTAGAGTTTCTTTATTTAATGCTAATGCATATGAACCCCTTCAGCTATGACCTTGAGAGACTGGGGAAGGGCAGTGGATAAGACTTTGATGCTTGTAAGTCACCTTCCAGTGTGATACTGCACAGGCCTTTGCCCGGGTCTCCTGAAGTAGTAGAAAGGGTAAGGCAATGGGAGGGGTGGTTGCTCCCCTTTTATAGAAGAGGAGCATAAGGCACAAAAAGCATCAAAAATTTGCCCAGGATTATTTGCTAAGAGAGCAATAGACCACAATCTGGACTGGTTCTGCTTAATTCTGGCTCCTGGCCACCTCTTACTCGCGTGCTTTAGAAGTAAATTTCCTTCCTCCAAATTTCTCATTGCTTGGTTTTCCTGAGGAATTGTCTTTTACACTCAGTGGAAGAACAGACTGAGCAGCTGTGTCTAGTGTCACAAACTGGGATGTGGTGAGGGAATTTCTACTAGAGAGATAACAGAAATGCTTCTTTCCTCTTTGGAAAAATACAGACATAAGAGTTCAAAGAAATTAAGGTAGAAGAAATCTCATATTCAAAAATGCACAAAATGAATAAGTCATCTTATAAAATAATTAGAGGTTCAAGAAAACATGTAGCTGGGCCGGGGATTTAGCTCAGTGGTTCTGCTGCCTGCCTTGAAAGCGCAAGGACCAGAGTTCGATCCCTGGTACCAAAAAAGAAAACATGCAGCTGGTACAAAGAAAACACAGTACTAGGGACTCTACCCCAGGAAAGAAAACATACAATTATTTGATGTTATGAACAATGGGAAAATTTTTAAACTTAACTTTTAAACACAAAGACAGAGAGATAGAGAGGGAGAGAAAGAGAGAGAGAGACAGACAGACAATAAACCCAAAGACATCAGGCCCTCAAGTATAAATTCTCATTCTGTCAGGTTACCATGGCATGTTCCCAAAACCTTTTCATGAGAAGAAAAGAAGGGAAAAAGAAAGGGGGGAAGAAAGGAAGGAAAGAGGAAATAAAAAAAGGAAGAGAAATAAAACTTTAAAAGATAATTTCTGAGGTAATTATCCAAGAAATTGCTTTGCTGTTCTCTGAAGGAGTGCGGCTCTGGACAAGGGCCTGCCGGCCTGGATGGGCCGTGAGGGACAGATACAAACCCTCTGTGGCCGCATCACCAGCCCCTCCCTCCTGGTAAATGGGGGGCAGTGAGAAGGAAAAGGAGCCGGGCGTGAAGTGGCCAGAGGGTGAGGAAACTAGCTGAGAAGAAAAGCAAATGGGAAGAGGGAAAATGAAGAGAACACCGCAGCTAGGAGAGGCGGAAACGCCAGGGAAAAGGAGGACGAGGACGGGGCAGGAAAGGAAAGCAGAGGCCGGCAGTCACCTGCAAGGAAAGGAGCAGAATGTGGAAATGGGAAAGGACAGGAAGGGAAGCCCAGAAAGGAGGAAACCCAGAGGGCTAGAAATAGAAAGAAGGGAAGGAGGTGGGCAGGAAGGGAATCCAGGCTGTAGAACTGGAGGAGATGGAGTTGGGTGTGGTGCTGCATAATCTCAGCACTCTGGGAGCCTGAGGCAGGAGGATAAGTTAAAGAGTTGAACCTGGGCATCTCAGACTAGTAAGACCTTTTCTCAAAAATAAATAGGGCCAGGATTTAGCTCAATGGTACAGCGGCTGCCTTGCAAGCGCAAGGTCCTGAGTTCAATCCCCAGAACCAAAATAAATAAA